GTGGGCAGGGCGGGCAGCGTGGGCAGGGCGGGCAGGGTGATCAGGGCGGGCAGCGTGGGCAGGGCGGGCAGCGTGATCAGGGCGGGCAGCGTGGGCAGCGTGGGCTGCTGGAAGGACTTGGCCCACGACCTGGAAGGTGGAGCCGTGGAGCGCAGGGCCGAGGGAGCGGGCCCTGCTCACCGGCGCCCCCTGGTGGCGGCTGCAGGAGACGGACCCTGGAGGAGCCGCCCGCAACCCCAGGGCCGTTCCACCCTCGGTTCCCGGCACGCGTGGTTGGTGCTCTGTGAACAGAACGGGCGCAGAGAGGCTGTACACCAGCCGGGCGTCGCACAGCACAGCCAGGGGAGGAAACCCATCTTTTGTTCGTTCGCGGGATGCAGCTGATTCAAGCCTGGGCGGAGGGAGGCGGGGGCTGGACGTCCAGATGGGGCCCCCTGTGCCCTGGCATCAAAGGCTCCCGAGAAGAAGCCGCCCGGGAGCCCCCCACGGGGCAGGCCCGGCTCGCACGCTTCCAGGACGGGCTCCACGCTCCCGGTGCGGATGGGCCTTGGCTGGTTGGGACCCTACGAGGACTTACACACATTTTAAATATTTATCTGTTAAGACGGAACCGGGGCCCCGCTCTGGCTGAACCCGGACCCTGGCACACAGCTTCCTGTCCCTGTCAGCCTCCATTGTCCCCTTGTTCCTCCTATGCTTTCCTATGACCCTGCTCACCGGTGTCACCAGGTCAGCCCAGGGGCAACCTTACACACACACACGCACACGCACGCACACACGTGTGCGCACACACACATACACACACACACACACACGCACGCACGCGCACGCGTGCACACACGCACACACGCACACATACACGCACGCACACACACACGCACACACACGCACGCACGCATACGCACACACACGCACACACACACGCACACACACACACTCCTGGTGGTATAACTGAGACTTTCCCGGTGTCAGCCGCAGTCAGCATGTGTCGGCCTCGTCCCCCTCG